ACGCAGCTACCGAGCTGTTCCAACTGCGTCTCTCGACCAGTGCTGTCAAACACCAACTCAAGGAACCGTCAAATCCCCACCGAACGAAAGTGTGACAGTTAGAGTTATAACTCTAAAAGAGACAGAACCGTACTCCTCGGTGTAGAAAAACACTTCTCTGCTCCACAGCCTTTTTTGTTTCTGGCTTCAATCTCCTGGTAGGAGCACTGAAACTCTGGCGTGCTCCAGAACTGGAAGCTGCTGTTGCAAACATCGTCGTGACAGCAGCAGGTTGCTGATGTGCTGCGCAGTGTGCAACGTCTGGCACAATCATGTGTAGGCCAGACGAATTTATTCTCCGAACGCGTGTCATAAGGCAAGCCACAGGCACGCACATATATGCTCCTGTATGAACATACATAATCTCCAGGTATGCACTTCACTAGCCTCTAGTCGCGTTCTTGGAGCTGCAAAATCAGGTGTGTGGGCTCCTGAGACAGAAACCCGGAGCTGTCTTCTATACCGGAACGATGGCACTATGCTATGGGGGTCAGGGTCGGGCTGACAAGCAACTGCAGGTGGGTTTCCCAGTCTCAGGACACAAGCCCGTACAAAAGCAGCAGGGATTCTCGGCACAACGGGCTGCAAAGATTAAGACCTTGGGGTTTGGTGTGTCAAAGTTTTCCAAACACAATTCGGAAGTTCCACGGTTTCGGATCAACGGCTCCGTTGATTGCCAGAAATCTCCACTTTTTTAAGCACCGCACATCGCGAAGAGGTTGCAGGTAGGCTGCTTGGCCTCGCCCTGCAAGGCAGTCTCCACCGCCGCCGGTGCATCGGCGACCTCCTCCTTCAGGCCTTTCAGCTGCAACTTCACTGTTTCAGTCAAGTCCGCCGCTGCTTCCTTCACTTCTTCCTTGACGTCCTCCTCCTTGGTCACCGCTTGCTTGACCTCTTCCTTGAGGTCCTCCTTCGCTTTGTCAGCAGCGGCTGCGGCGGATTCCAGCACCACTTTTGCCTCCTCCAAAGTAGGTTCTGGGGCGGAGGAGGAAGAGGCCCTCTCCCCGGCCACCTGGGGGACCACCTCCTCCGTCGGGGCTTCCGTGGAGGCCTTGGAATCTGCGGGCGCCTCCGTCACGGCGATAGGAGCCTTCGGCGCTGTCGCTGCCTTGCTTGTCTGGCAACCCATCTCCGGCCACGGGAACTGTGCTCCTTGCAACGCAGGTGCTTAAGAAGCAGAATTTGCTCGAGCCCAACATAAGAGGTGTTCCGGCGCTCACTCTGGGATACTCTCGGACACCCAAGCGTGGTTTTGGAGTGCAACGTCGGTTGAAGGTGAAACTTAGTATCCAAGAGCGTTCAGGGTGTGGGGGACTTCGGGTTTTGAGTCTGGGCTGCGGTGGTGTGGGGAGCTTTCAGAGACAAAAGGTTTAGAGGACAACTCGCAACTTGGAAAGTCCATGTGAAGCTACGCAGCCTTCGGCTTACCGCTGACAGTGCAGCACGTAGGACTGTTTGAGAAGCTTGGGACGCATTCCTTCCTTAAACCCCTGCAGGCTTACGTATCACTACTTGCATATATACATATAAATAAATATATATATATATATATATATATATATATATATATATGAGTATATATGTATGAGTCACGAGCCTTCCCCGTAAGGTGTGTCTGGAATTTAATTGCGATAAGGGCTACCGTGACATGCATTCAGGTCTGGGCGTCGTTGGTTGAGCAGGCGGGGAGCAGATTAAAACTTATGTGAGAGAGAGAGCAGAAAGGGGGAGAGAGAGAAAGAGAGAGAGAGAGAGAAAGGAAAGAAAGACAGAGAGAGAGGCAAAGACATAAACAGAGAGAGAAGGTGCAACGGGAGGGACGTTGATTTTTGAGATATGCGCGCATGAGGCCTCCCAGATCATATCCTCGGCAAAGGGGGACCCCGGCCAGAGCATCCGCACCTCCTCGCAAGTTTAAGTGAGTCCGTATGGCGATTGTGTGAATGTGCATATATATATATATATATATGTATGTGTGTGTATATACACAGATACAGATCTTGATTCTTGACGATATACTATAGACAGAGCTATCTCTCTCTCTCTCTCTCTCTCTCTGTGCTGACTACCGCTCACTCAGATTAGTTACACACTTCTCGTCCGAATGCAAAGCAGGCAGGTTGACAGGGAGGCGGGAGGCAAGTGCAAGCATGAATCAATCCAACAACTGTATGACCATTCCATCAATGTGTGTGTGTGTGCTGCTGACAAACACAAAAACACACAAGCGAGTTCGATGTCGTGTTTTTTGCTGGTGTCTCGTCGAGTGCGGACGATAGGTAACTTCACATACTATTCCGTCGTCATGTATGCGGAAAGATCCCCAACACCTTCGAGGGGAGAGTATAAGGACCTACTGTACTGCTTATTTCTTTCCTGCATCGGGTTAGAAGGGCTTTGATCTGCCCGTCAAGGAGCTGTTGAAGCAGGCTTCGTTGTCTAGCAGCTGACTCTCCAAAACGTGCGCCAAGGACCTGAAGGTGCCATAAACCTAAGTTTTAGGATAACCCTGACGCGAGGACTTGTATTTTGGCATGCGACCCGACAACCCTCATTCCACCAAATTATTATGGGGACTTAATAACTATAGAATAGGGTTTCGGGGCCCAATATACTATAGTTATAATAAAGAAACCCCAAAATCGCAAAGGTAATTATCTAGGCCCCTTTTGTTTGGAGCTAGTTTGGAGCCCTAAGTCTTGATTCCGGGGAGGCTCCCGGTTCTGTGCGCCGTTGTACATCCGCGGCGGTCGGCCCACGAGTCCCAGCAATGAGCTGGGATGCTTGTCCTGCTGAGGAGGGATCCGACTAACAAGGCTAACGTAGGGGCCTGAATAATTAGAATAGGGTTCCTTTGAAAGGGATCCTAAAAAAGGCTCTAAACGGGATCTATAGTAGGGCTCTATGGTGTAGGGGCCTCCGTGAATAGAATGGGGTTTGGGGTATAGTATACTATGATTCCATGATCTTGGATAAGGAACCCCCAAAACCCCATTCTGTTATCAAGGCCCGCACATTACCAATAGCACCCGCCGTCGTCGTCGTAGTGGTCGTCGTAGTACTGGTGGAAGTAGCAGGAGCAGCAGCAGCTGGAATCGTAGTGGTGGTGGTAGTGGTGGTGGTGGTGGTGGTGGTGGTGGTGGTGGTAGTGGTAGAAGAAGAAGTAGAAACGTGTCACAAGTAGCTTCCGGGCCCGTGCTACCTACAGAGTTCTGCAGCTGCACTGCTCCAACCCCTAGTCGAACTTGTCGGTTGTACCCTAAACCCTAAACCCTTTTTACACCTGGACTACGCCTTTGCCAGGAACCGAGGCGCCGCTGACTGTGCTGCGGGCTCGTGCCTAAACCCTAAAACTCTAAACCCCTAAACCCTAAACCCTACACCGGTCCGCACGGCGGCATGCCCTCAGCAGGGAGCGGAAGGCAGCACGCTCGGCCGCCATGGCTGAACGGCCGGGATTGGGGGAGTTTCAATTCCCTTTTTGTCACTCTTGTAGTAATATTAGCATTAGTACTGGTAATAGTATGAATATGAGCAATTGGTAATAATATTAGTATTACTTCAAACTTGCTTCTCGGCTACCTAAACCCCCAAAAGTACGTAAAACAATGGCCCAACTCCTCTAAAAGGCTATTATTCTACGTACTTTGGGGGTCCAGGTAGCTGGGAACCGGGAAGATCCAGCTAAGCCGGATAAAGGGAACTCCATCTCGGCATGTGGTAAGGAGGGAGGGGGTTTGGAGTCTGAACCATGGGCCAGACCCTCTAATTGTGAAGCCCCCATGGATTGCCTGAGTTACATGCACATGTGGGTGCTTTGATATAATACGGCACCTAATGTTTAGGGTACCCAAAAAGGGACCAGAAATAATTTTAACAACCAACCATGTCATGTGTCGTTGCAGGGGTCGCGGGCTGGCAGCGCACTGTCTGAAACCGAAACGTCGAGTACGCACGCGCACCTCGGACGTGCACTTGGCATTGGGAGAAATCTGACTTACAGGTGGCCAGTAGGTCGGCTTCAAGCAGTACAAAAAGATCTCCGCGAAGGGGGTTCTCTCCAATCACTCGGGCATCTGCAGCAGCTGCGCATCCATGCAGCAAAAGCCGGCGTTTTTGCGTCAGGCAACAGGCATTGTGAGGTATTCAGGTTCTCTGCATGATTTGTCGAAAACAGCAGAGTAGACGGTACCGGAAGGCCTGAGGTGCATGCTCCTTCTGGCACACAGCAACAGCACAGCTTTGACACATTTCTTTTTACATAGGGGTTGGGGCTTCTCCAGCAACGATCGCAGCCTTGCATCAAGCCATGCAGCACGTCCTTTGGTGCTTTCAGATGGTCACACGCCTGCTGAATCAGTTTCATGCACCTGGACCAGTACCAACACTACACGGAACTGACTCGACCATTAGATTGCGTCACCTCTGCTTTGTGTTGTCTACCAGTACCGGTGCTGAGCAGGCCTTTCCAGGTGTCGAACAGGCCCTCTGACCCTTAACACACTTCTTGCATCAGGACTTGGCAACCGGAGCAACACGGAGGTTCAGCCCCTAAACACACTAAACCGAGTAACAAACCGTAAATGTCGCAGCCACTGCAAACCTAAACCACCAAACCGTACAGCCCTCAACCTCTAAAAGCCACAGCTAATACATATCTTCCAGGTGCCAGAAACTGGCACTGCTAGTGACTCGGGCCGTGCAGTCTGACGGCACACTCTCGCGATCGCGAGAGTTTTCGGGTCGAAGGTCTTAGGTGGTCTTGGGCCTAGGGTATATAGGGCTTATGGGGACTTCAAGTTTCAGGGTTCAGGGTCGAGAGGTGTAGAGGGTATCAGTTGGGTTGGGCCAGTTTTGGCCCCAGACCTTCCAAAATACCTTAATTCATTTTAGGGATCCTATTATAATGTAAGGTATATTCCTTAATTGAGGGATTTTGGTAGGTCTGGGGCCCTTGACTCCTAGACTGCCGCAGGCACGGTCGTCTCTGCCGCCAGCCTCGCGAGCTCCTTCCACGGCAGTGCAGTCATCGGAACTGGCTCAACAAAACAGATTCCGCCTGGAGGTATTTCAAGCCTTGAAGCATGTTTCGGTTCCATTCATTCAAAATTACCGATTTCGAGATTTGGGCGATATAGGGCAAGATAGGGTCATGATCCTGGCCCTGGCCCTCAGAATCGAAACCTGTCCTTGGAAACGTACACACGCAGGTCCACGACGTCCTCACAGCATCACTGGCCGGATTTTCCCGGAATTGCAACCCCAGCTATACTTCGACGGCACAGCACATGTGCTTTCAACGGCGTGCCACTTGCGTTTGTGGCATGGATGAATGTAGGTCCAGACTACCACCGAAAGCGGCATCGTGTCATGCTGTGATTGCAAGCGTTTGTGGCACGCTAGCGGTTGACGGCTGAAACAACATGGGGAGTATGTGTGCGCACAAATCCGAAGTCCATGCGGTTCTGCGGGTCTAAGCAAGAATGACTTGGCCACGTGTGGCACGAAAGTAGCTGTCTGTGTGTGCACTCGATAAGCAAAGACGGAGATGTCGGCACTGCGAATCGAGGTAGGCCCGCAGCAGCGTGGCTTTCGGATTTCAAAACCACGACACGATATCGAGGCCTTTCTTGATCAGAATACGGTTGAGGTTCTGGGGTATGTTGTAAAATAATGACTTCCTGAACAACAGTCTTGCATGTTCAAGCTGGCCAACTTCGCAAACTTCCCGTCCCAGCCTTGACGGTGGCCTGGCTGCTGCCGCGGAACCTCAGAAAAACGCAAGCGGGCCAGCAGTATTTGCGCAGCAGAGCTACTTCCCACTCTGATCTGAGCCGAAAAGTAAAACTATGGTCAACGACACCTTCAAACGAGACGGACGTGTAGTGGTAGAGTTGCGAGGTGGGGGGGGCAACTTCAGATCGCAATTCTCAATGTACGCGGACGCCCACCCTGTGAAATATGATGCTACCCTAAGCCCTGAACTACTTCTCCGTCTCTATGTCTTCTCACCGAGGGACTGCAGCACAGTCTCGACAAAGTCCTCCAAAGTCAAAGTCGGCGTGTCTCTGAAGACGAAGTCGGCCTGAGGATCTCAAGAAGGGCTGGCTGTGCCTTTAGGCTTCTTTGTGGCCACTTTTCGACCAGCAGTGGTATACCTTTACAGGGTATAGGGTATAGGGCCTAGGGTTTAGGATTATTGGGAGTTTCCGAAGCGTCTTAAACCCCTTTCTGCAGGGACCCTATAACAAACGTTGAACAGTTGGTTATGGTAGTCTAAGGTTTAGGAGACGCTAAGACGTGTGAAGAAACCCTCATGCACCTACCGCGACTGCACCTCTCCGAAACCGACGTGTCCATTTCTAGTCAAAAACCCTAAATCCTGAACCCTTTTGCAACTGGCTTGCAACGTCACGCCAGGACAGCTAAATCCTGAACCCTAATCCCTCAGCTCATTTCGAGTCCAGCGGCGTAGTCGACCAGAGCTAGGACGTTGACACCGCCTTCGTACCTTTGCCCAGAACTTTGCCCTCTGACACTGACTGCTGCAGACAGAGTCGACCTCCGACTCTGGAGCTGACTAAAAAAAGTCAGGGGGGATCTCAATGTTTCAATTTCTGGTCCTTAGAATACATTGTTTATGGGTCATCGTGATGAAAAGATGAAGATTCCGTAGTTCAACTCCCATGTGGGCCCTCATGTTTTGCTCTTCGTGGACTCGCTGCTGAATCCGGCTGCCAGCAACTGCACGCAAGCAGAAATTCGCGCATGTAACAAAATGCAGCTGAGGAAGGCACAGTTTCCGAACCGCTTCTGGATTCTGGATCCTCGGACGTGCACATAGCATGCTAAACGCAGCTGGCAAGTTCTGACATGGGTCAGATTCGGAACACAGCAGAACACCGTCCTTCGACTTCTGACAACAATCGCTATGGCGACTGCCTCATTTTGAGATCCAATCCGCTCTTTGCAGCAAAGGGTCATGTGATTGAACTCCACGGACGTCACCGTCTGATCCTCATTCTCATCGGTGAGCTTCACCTGGCGTCCGACCACTAGGGCCCCAAAACAAGCACATAAGCAAAACTGAGCATAGGGATATCCCATTATGATGAAGCCCAATAAGCCATTGATATCCCGATAAAATGCTTCTGCTTATGTCCTTGTCGGGTCCATATCGAGCCGTGGTTCAACCACAAACTGTCAAAGCGGAAGGTGAGCTCGAAGTATCAAGCTCAAGCCAGGGACCGGCCATCTCATGCTGCTGGAATCCTGACGGATTCGAAATTCCGAATCTCGACTGTGCAGCCCAGGAACAACATCGGCGATGTCTCTTTTCAAGGTCTTGAGGCTCTGCTCCTGACGACCAGCTTTCCACAGGTTCGAGATGTTTGGGTGGCTGGGGGAGGAGGCACAAAGGGCTAACCAAGGCCAACAAGCACTATATATATATATATATATATATATATATACATATAGTATGTATAGTGTGTATATTATGTGTATATATATATATATATATATATGTATATATATATATATATATATGATACATATATAGATAGATAGATAGATAGATGGGGCCGGGCGTCCAAAATCCAGCGAGCCGCGAAATTACATCCCTGGACTTAAGTAGGGCTATTGTGTTGTCACAGTGCTTGCGAGGGTTCTTATGACATACTTCTGGAAACACGTCTGCATCACTTTGACTTGAAGCAAAGCTCTCTAGCGTTGACCCTCCAACATCCTCCAACTTCGAGCTCATTGCTGAGACTTCACTGAAACAAAACCATGACAATAGCCAATGATTGCGCGCCTCCTGTTCTATCTGGGCGGTGTTGCCAACGACATCCACCATGACACCGATAAGCATGTTCCTTGGTTTGCGGCTCGGTCGTCGACAGTAGAGCTTTGGCACGAATCACCCCAAACCCTGAACCCATAAACCCTTCTTGTTATTGACGGCCTCGCCGCGCCCAGAGTCCCGGACATCTCCAAAGCTGTGAGAAAGGGCAGATTAGGTAACCGCTCGACATTTCTTCTCGCATGCAATTTCGTATGATTGATCAAGGTCTGTTGTTGGCCGAAGTGTGAGAAGCACAAGCGATACGAGTAAAGCTATAACGGACAAAGACATGCAGATTCCAATGGAGGCACAATGCTGCCGGTAATGGACTACTGCTAGCTGCGACTTGCACGGTATCGTCAACATGCTATTTTGGATGTTTGTTGGGTCGGCGAGATGTCTCCGCGACGCATGCGCATGTGATGCAAACCGTACACAACTCGATGAGTCCCCGTTGAACATGGGTATCCAAGCCGACTGGTTCACAGACTTCGCCGGGCGGCATCAGCGTGAGGGAGCCTGCAGCATGCATTGCTTGGGTGCATCGTGTCTAAGTCATCATCCGCTTGCTGGCTAGGGCTTCAATTCACAGGGCAGTCGCTTGTCCCAATGCCCCGATAGGGATACCTGGTAGCCGCTGCGGCACCTCCAATGCTAAATGTTGATTTCCGTGACTTCGAGGCTGAGCACCACTTCCCAATCCTATATATCCCCTCCAGCAGCCACCGTTTGATGAGTGCAAATCCCTAGGGCTCATATATTAAGGCTTCTGGGCCCAAAGACCATACTATATAAGGCTCTTGGGCTATTTTGATCCCTAGGGAATGCAGCTGTGACCCATCCCGGTCCCGGTCGCGCCTATCAGCTGGTACGCGAGCATAAAGGCGAAGGAAAGCCCATCCGCATTCATCATGTCCATCATGAAGTGATAATCGAAACCTTAGTATATTGGTTTTTTACAAAACCTATGAAGTGATAATCGAAACCTTAGCATATTGGTTTTTTACAAAACCTATGAAGTGATAATCGAAACCTTAGTATATTGTTTTTTTTACAAAACCTATGAAGTGATAATCGAAACCTTAGTACCGTCTCTCTCCGTCTGGGGTTTGAGCCCCCTCTCTCCGCATCAAGGCGCGAAGACATTCCCCCTTGTTTCGTGGTGCTGGTGAAACTCAGCTGGACTTGGACGGTCTACGACCACAGGTAGATCTGGTTGTCCTTCCCTCCACTTGCCAGCTTTGCAGTGCCTTTCCCAACCCTGCACAGCGATGTAACCGAATCTTTGTGAAAGGTGAGAGTGGCCGTGCAAGACTGCGAGCTTAGGTCCCAAAGCCGTACATCCCTGTCGCCACTTGCACTAGCGATCGTGGACGAGTTGATTTTGCACACGGCCAAAACGTCGCCTCGGTGTCCTTGCAAGGTTGCCTTGCAAGCCCCGGAAGGGAGGTCCCAGACTTTAACGGTCTTGTCCCCGCCGCTGCCACTCGCCAGGAGGGTGGGCGTGACCCTAGCGAGCGCCCAAACGGAGCTGGTGTGGCCTGTCAAAGTGGCCGTGCAAGTCTTCGAACTCAGATCCCAGATCTTGATGCTTGCATCCAAACTGCCACTCGCAATGGTGCTGTCCCCAAGCTTGCAAAGAGCAAGAACCGAGCTCTCATGTCCGGTGAGGCTTGCTGACTCAGCCACAGAACTCTGCGCTGACAGATCCCAGACTTTGATGGTGTCGTCCGAGCTGCCACTGACCAGAGTCGTAGCATTAACTTGGCACAGCGCATTCACATCACCTTCATGACCTCGGAGCTCCGATCTGCAGCTTCCGGTGGGAAGGTCCCAGATCCTGATCGTCCCATCGCGAGCCCCACTGGCCAGGGCTTTGGCATCGATCCTGCAAAGGGCCTTTATGCTGTTGCTGTGGCCCTTCAGCGTGGCTTTGCAAAGCTTCGCAGTGAGGTCCCAGACCATCACCGTGTTATCAAAGCTTCCGCTAGCCAGTGTAGTGTCATCGACCATGCACAGACATGAAACCCACTTCTGGTGACCACTTAGGCTCGCAGGTTCACCGTCCTCTTTGGGCAACTCGCCCTCGCCATCGGAGCAAAAGTCTGCCGAGCCCGAGCCTAGTTCATGGTTGGGATAGGATAAAAAAATTACATTTTTGTATTCCTTGTTGGGTTTATACATTTTTGTATTCCTTACTGTATTGGGTTTAAGTACCCATAAAGATGCAAAATCTTACCCAACTACGACAAAGGAGCCCTGTACTGGAGCTTCTGTCGCAGGTTTCGCGGGTGTGACGGCGATGGTCGCCACGGGGGTCGTCTGCGAAGCATTGCTCGAGCCGCACCCCATGGCGCAGACACGGGGACCGCACACGGAAGTATACTCTCGAAACAGGCATGCTCGTACATCTGGTGACGTTGCATGCGCATATGAAATCTAAGGCAACTGCAGTACCGCGCGCTGTGGCGAGAGATATCATCGTCATCGGCATTACATGCTCCGAATGGGTTGGGGCCAGCTACCCTGTGCGCCAGATCGCAGACTTCCGACAATGCCATGCAAAATAAGCACCCATGGTCCAAACTCTAGGATGTTTCTGCTGCTGCACACAGACATGCGGAGGGCTTTCAACTTACCTTTGGTTAGTAGGGAATGGAAGAATGGTCGTAATAGTTGTTATAATTGTACCCCATACCTCCATTCCCTACTAACCAAAGGTAAGTCAAAGGTGTGTTTGCAACTGGCTGGCATGCAAGATCTTCCGAGTGCAAATGCCGCTCTCGGAAGCAACAGCGGTGGAGCACAACGCCGGGAAATAATAGGAGCCTTGATAATCAGAATAGGGCTGGGGCTCATTATACTATACCTATAACAAGGAACCCCTGAAACAGTATAGGTAGAAAGGCTACTATAAGGGCTAAAATAAGGATTTGATGTAGGGGCCTTAATAATTACCTATACCATTTTGGGGTGTTCCTTATTACAATTCTAGTATAGGCACCAAAACCCTATTCTAATTGGTAAGGCCCCTGTAGTAGCAAACTCTTCCTCTGGGAGTATCATTCTGCCACCAAGGTTTCGGCCGAGAGCATGACAGCGTCAAAGCTGCAGTTTCGAGAGACTCCACTTTAAGTTGACCGGAATATGGGAGTTTCCGAAAATAGGGGAAACTAATGTATTGCCCGAAATAGTAAGATCCTTATTATAAGGACCCCATAAGGTACACCCTATTTTCGGAAACTCCCATATCTCTGGTCGCCCTAAACCCTAAACCCCAACAAGATCTCAGCATGCAGCAGGGTGCAGGCTGCCAGTCTCTCGCTGCCATCGCTCTTTCAATGCGGAAGCTGTGGAAGCACGTGGGAGTTTCCGAACATTAGGGGTACCTGATTTTGGGCTAATTTTGGATCCCTCATTTTCGGAAACTCCCTTCTGAAGAGCCGGTCGCAGGAGGGTCTTAAATGCCTTCGAAGTCACCGCAGAGTGTCTGCAGCAGCAAGAAAGTTGTGGCTTCAGGGACGCTATCAAAGCGCCCCCCACCAATGCCTGGTCTGAGAAGCTTGTTGAGACGCTAGTGCTTCCTACTCTGCTCAAACTGGGACATGCTGTGTCTCCGTTTTTGGAACCCAGGCTCCATGCCATCATCAGCCGGGAATTGGCAGCTAACACTCCGTTAGAACCCAAAGTCCACAGAAACCGGCTGCCAGACGCTAAACCCTAAACCGGCTCCCAGGATCTGCCCAGATGCTCTTGTTCTGGAGCAGCTGCGTCATGGCCACTGCGAAGGTGTATGTTACAAGAACGAGCAGGAGGAGCGTCGTGAGGACCGAGCGGATCGCCTGGGACACAGCAGAAATATTACACTAAACAGTAATAAGGAAGCCACAAAAATGGTATCGGAAATCATTTAGGCTCCTATATTACACCCTTATAGATCCCTTACAGTAACCCTTTAATAAAGGACCCCTTTAAAATGGAGCCATGGGGAACCCTAGGCCCTTTTTTTTATCGAATCCCAGAATGACGGACATTCCTTCGCCGACAGCCGACAGGGGCCCAAGGTGCTTGGCCTGTAGCAGCACTGGTGGCTCGTAGCTGTGTTTAGGGTTTAGACTGGTGGCTCCAGGCTTATAGCTGTTTGACTTCTGCTTCGGAGGCCGTGGCATCACCATCTGCAAACTTGATTCGATCCTTGCGAGGGCATTTGGTTTGTCCTACGAATCCCGCCGTCACCTGGAACATGCCATGCAGAAGGATCATCAGCTCCGGGACGAAGCGGAAGATTCGGCTCATCCGGAAGGCGCGGGTAATCCGTATCCTTGCCGGTTTCTAGGGGTTTGGTCGATTGCTGTCTGTGCTCGCTGGATCTACGTATACCGGAGTACGTACATGTTTGCAGGTATGCACCACTGTAATATGAGTAGATATATATATATATATACATATATATATATATATATATACATGTGTGTATGTGTAGCAAGAACTAAGTACACACACTTAACTTTTGAATAATTTATACCTGACATGCCTCTCTAAGGAGCCACCGGATTGATGCACCCTGGTACCTGTTGCGAAAGGCCTCACATCTGAACGCATTCCTCTCGCAAATAAGTGGATGCGTCATTGTAGCGAAGTCTGTAGTCGTGCCTCTCTAGAGGATATCGTGTGTGTGTGTGTGTGTGTGGCCTTACTCTTTCCACTTTTTCTGCCATAAGCAAATGAAGCAACACATCTCAAGGCTCAAAGTAGCGGAGACGAGGCCCGCTACAACAGTAGTAGATGGGCATTAGTAGTTCATTAGCACTGACATAGCATCCCCCTGCTTTCACTCGCCCCCCCTCGCAACTTGTCATGACCCACGAGATCTGCAGCTGTGCATCAATCGCAGCGCTCGCAGTGACGGGGTGATGCCTCGCGAGTCTGCATATGGGAGTTTCCGAAAACAGGGGACCCTAGTATAGTCTAGATAATAGCATCCTTATCATAAGGACCCCAAAATAAGGTATCCCTAATTTTCGGAAATTCCCATGTAGACTGCAGGCTTAGCTTGCAGGATCGGCTCTGCAACCACACCCACAAAATTTCCACTCATCCGAACAAACAAAGAGATACGAAGAGACAGAAAGGCAGACATACAGACAGACAGACACTGACAGATATACACATCGGCGTAAATATGTCAACAGGAAGTATATCCACACGGTCGCAGCATGGACCCGCCTCTCACACTCGTATCTCTTCTTCCGAAGGTCTTCTTTGCCCGGTCCATGTGTTTGAGGCTGCAACATGTCCGGAAGTTTAGAAGCTGAGCATACAGCAACCGGGGGTTTGAAGCAATAGTAAGAATAATAATACTAATAATAGAAACAGTATAAATAGTAGTAGTAATAACAATAATAATACTACTACTACTACTACTAATAATAATAATAATACAATCAGTGTGATGGTAATCTCTAAAACCGACTGCAAGTATAGGCAGCCAAGCTGTGGACACATTCAAAAGATTTGGGGCCCTGACCCGACGATGCTGACAAACGGAGACCAAAACAGGGTTTAGGGATTTAGGGATTTAGGGTTTAGGGATTTAGGGTTTAGGGATTTAGGGATTTAGGGTTTTGGGTTTAGGGATTTAGGGATTTAGGGTTTAGGGATTTAGGGATTTGGGGTTTAGGGTTTAGGGATTTAGGGATTTAGGGTTTAGGGTTTAGGGATTTAGGGTTTAGGGATTTAGGGATTTAGGGTTTAGGGTTTAGGGATTAGGATTTAGGGTTTAGGGTTTAGGGTTTAGGGGCGATCAGAGTTCATTACCAGACTCTGGCGTTTGCCCTTCGAGCTGTGGCCATGCACGGCTCCAGCTTTGCTTTGGAATTTCAAGGGCTCTCGCACGTTGCCCCGCCAACGTCTCCGAGTGCTGCGCAGCGTGCGGGACATGCGAAAAGAACACCGCGCGAGTGCGAAGCTCAAAGAGGCCTGGTGACCAAACCCTACACCCATTTTTGCAGCACCCTAAACCCTAAACCCTTTTTGAGTCACGGGCTGGGGTCGGACGTTGGAATCAAGCAAACCCTAAACCCTAAACCCTAAGCCCCTAAGCCCCTAAGCCCCTAAACCCTAAACCTTAGAAGCCCCTGAACTCTAAACCCTGGCCTGGTGAGGATTGATGCTTTTCGAAGCCGACAAAGGCGGCCATCAGCATCCAGCCCCAGGTTTCGACGGCCATGGACACCTTAGGCGGCATCTACTACACCCCCCTTAGAACCATAGTAATAACAATAATACTGATAATAACACCTTAGAACCATAGTAATAACAATAATACTGATAATAACACCTTAGAACCATAGTAATAACAATAATACTGATAATATCATATTTAATATTCTCTTGGGCTTTCGATGAACAGGAATACAAATAATTGCCCAGGAGACTATAGTCTACGGCACTACAGTACGGCGTGGCCAGAGGGCTGCAGTCTGTCAACGGTAGATCCTACTCAAGGAATATCTGCGACCAATCACGAACACTTCAGATCACGATGCAACTCATCTGGAAAAATGCTTCTAGCTAACAGGCATATCGTCCTTTTGCCCATTTGCAGCTTATCGGGAAACTGTATAGTATAATTGCCGAAGCTTGTGGCTAACAGCCATCTCGTCCTTTAAAGTGTCCTTGTGCCAGCCCTACTTCTCCCTGAGCTTCCCGCAGCCAAGAAGAGGTCGAAGAGGAAGGAGTTATCGGAGAGGGCATCCCGAGGCACTTGGTAGGCGAGCCATCGGATGGTGATCTCGAAGCAGAAGTAGGCCTTGTGGTTATAAGTACTTATAAGTATAGTTGCCTTATTTATAACCCCGCTTACTAAGTCCCATGATCCTTTAAGTTGGGAGGGGAGGGTTTTGGGTTTAGGTTTTAGGGTCAGGGTTCTGGATGGTTTAGGGCCTCGGGGTTATAAATATAAACCGCTTTCTTTTCTCTTTTCTATATATATATATATATATTTTTTTTTTTTTTTTGGGGGGGGGTGGTGGGTGAGTCTTCGGGCGCCTTGGTGGGAAGAATAGGGCTTCGGCGTTTTATCGCTGTTTGTGGTCATAGTGCAACAGTATCGGAACCAAAAGGGGATACTAGTACTGATCCTTCAGGCCCCGATAGTACGACATCCGAGATGTACTTCGGTGACCCTCGCTCGATGCAGCCAAGCTGCACAAATCACGTTGTCCATGAGGAAGAACACCCCGGCCCCCTGCCTGGGTTCTTGTTAAGGGATTTAGTTTAAGTTACCATCACCAGGAAACCATACTATTTACTATAGATCCCTCATATGGTACCTTGAACTAAAGTCCTCAACCCTGAAAGGAACCCTTATAGATCCCTTTAAGGAACCCTTACATTTATGGTAACTTCAATTAAATGACTTAACAAGGGCCAGTTGCCCCTGGTTGTAGTCCGTATCGATGGCAATCCAGAAGGTGCTCAGCAGGACCTGAGTGGGGAAGCTGTCGGTCCCTGGCCTGGTAGCCGAAGCTTTACCCAGAGGCTCCCCTAGTAGTTCCTTTGGGGGTTTCCGAAAATAGGGGACCCTAAGATAGCACCCTGAATAGAAGGATCCTCATTGTAAGGATCCCAAAACAGTGCCCCTAATTTTCGGACACTCGCATTTTGTGGGCTCATACTTAGAATCCTGTAGGGCAATCCCAAAAAAAGGAACTACTACGGAGCCTCTGGGTAGAACTAACATGGAAGCCTAGATAAGAACGAAGGCTATTCCGTTATGGTCCCCATGCAAATATACTACACTGTACTGCAACTATCCTAAAGCCTCAAGACCCTAGTCTACTTCTTAGGGCCCCTATGTTTCACCTCAGACGCCACAACTGTGAGCCCCAAACCCGAAGCTCGCGACGGGATGCTTCAGTTTCGCCTCTTTTGACTACGAAGGCTAGGCCAAAATGGGCATATATCCGGAGCTTCAGTTGCGCCGGCTACTTGCTCAACACAAAATTATAAGAAGGATCTCCACACCTCAGAAGCCCAAGGTTAAGCAACTACTGTGATCAGATACTCTGCGGGGTTCGTCATTGGCTGACGAGGACAACAGCCAAGGAGCCCGTCAATTCCTGCAAACCGGTCGGTACGCGTCACTCTCTCGTCACTGTATGTCACCATGTAATAACTCACTGGCCCAAAACCCAAGGAAATAAAAGTTGAAACTTTCAGAAACGACTACCTTATAAGAAGAACCACAAAAGTTGAAAAGTTGAGTTTACAGCCAATCGGAATATGCGCTCAAGAAAGGCAAGAGGCCATCGCCATTGTGAAAGACTTGAAGACAGAGCTTCGAGCAATGGCCTTGTACCATGTTGGGCTGGTTTAGGCGGTGAGAAACTTTTCGCTTATACTTGCACACCTGCCCGACCGACCGGCAAATCGGAAAGGTTGAAGACCCTCCTGAAAGCAAAGCTTGTTTGACGGCTTGGCTTCTTCCCCTAATAAGGTAGAAGCCAGAAAGATTGAACATCAATATCCCCATCCCCTTAAGGTAAAGCATAGGGGATCCCAGCACCAATCCTCCTAAACCCATGTTCCAACTTTCTGGGGTTCACTTTATGTTGCCAGGACAGCGCCTCCGTGATGACACAACATAGCCTGAGTATGTTCCACTTCTCTTTGAACTCCCACATGGCTCAAACGGTGTGAGTGTGATCTATGCCCCGCCAAACCAGGCAAAATTTCGTGAGCCATTGGTTGCTACTATGCCCCTCACCTTGGGTAGGCTGTGCGATCTCTGCCTGGCCCACCCTATGGCCTGACAGCAGCCAGTCTTCGAGTAAAGCTTCTCCGGATCGAGGACCTGGGATTCCGGGTTAGGGCTTGGGGTTTGACTATATGGCTTCCCTGTATAATCCAGGGAGGTGAAGGCATACACTGGGATCGTAGTATGATTGTACAGGCATGGCAACTACAAAGGAATATTGTTAGTGGGTTGTTCAGGAAAGCATGTTACCTGCTATGTAGCCCTGCATGTCAGCTGAAGTTACGTGCCGTAACGAAAACCCAGTTTCCGCGGCTTGGTAGTATCAACCCTGCAATAAGCACAACACGGCCTTAATGCAGCCCTTCTGTGAACCCAGGGTATGACTGCGTCGTGGCATAACGGTAACGCCCCCATCGCGGAAGGGAAGTTTTCTAGCGAAGCCGTCCCGAAGCCGAGGAACGTCCTTGTTGTTGATGCTGTCCATGACGCTCTTCCTGCGTAGTGCAACACGGAACATCTTAGATCAACCCTGCAATTTCCAGGCTCACGTGAAAAATTGTAAACATGGAAGCCGACACCGTTTTGAATCGCTTGCAGGTGCCTCGACACACGTCAGGTTCCTTCTATTTATAGTACAATATCCCCCAAACCCTATTCTAATTCTTAAGCCCCCTATTATTTACCTTTATAGAAACCCTTTAAAGGAAACTTGTTTAGGAAACCTATTCTAATTCTTAAGGCCCCGATAATGTCTGTCCAAGACACGCCAAGGATTTGATCTCCTTCGGTTTCGTCAGCACCGGCTTCCTAGGTGGAATCATGCTCGAGCCTGTACTATAGGGGGCCTTAATAATTAGAATAGGGTTCCGTTAAAACGGGTCTATAAGGGTTACTAAGGGCTTCATGTAGGGGCCTTAATACTTAGCATAGGGTTTTGGGGCCCATTATACTATACTTAGAACCATAAGGGAACCCCAAAATAGTATTGGTACGGCCCCTATACTAAGCATGCAGGTCTCCTCAACCAGTCCCTACGTATCTCCGATGCTCAGTGAACTGCGTGGAACAAGTGTGTATGTGGTTGTTGTAGGCCACGCTAATACTGTACCCAGACCCCCCGTAGTAGTAGTTCCTTTTGGGGGTTCGTATTTTGAATCCTACAAGGTATTCCCCAAAAGGGGCTACTATGGGGCCTCTGGGTACATTGATGGTCCTTGCATGCCTACGAGCAATTTACTGGCAAGCAGCGAGAGGTGTCGCGACATGGAAATACTCTTCGTCGGGCTCATCGGAGACTGGCCGAAGCATGCAGTGGAGCTTAAGCGAGTTGAGGGGCGGCACACTGCCCAAACCAAACTGATAGCTGAGTGCCGTGGCTTCTGCGGGCATTTATCAGGGTTCTTAACATGAGCACGACTATATTGGGGTCATAGGCTCAGGGTCTCTTAGTCAGGTTCCTAAATGAGAGTCATTCGAGTGTCAACGGTCAGATAAATCAATGCTGAGTCTTGCCAAGATATCTTTTGTAGTCCAGGCCCCGCTTTGAGGTAGTATTTAAAGCTTCGCGACCTAAACTACGACTCCGGATGGAAGCGCCAGCACCTCCACTGCCAACCTCGACGCAGCGCGCCTGCAACCAATTGTGCGTTTGGCCATGCATCCTATCTTCTCGCAAGAACTTGCGGCTGGAGATTTCAGTTTGTCTGCTTCGTTCCAAGTCTCCGCCGCATGCAGTTGCGTCCACTTATCACAACTCCCAGCCCCAGCTTCACAACATCCAGTCCCAAACCTCCATTCTCAGTCGGTTCAGGAGCCTTAGGCCTCTAAGTTGACAAATAAAGGAAGCCCGGAAGAATGGTTGAAGTGCTTAAGAAAGGACGAAGGACGAGGAAACTGGGTTGTACGTGCTCGTCTCACGGGTTGGCTCTGGCTCTTACTGGCTGAATCTTTCGTTGAAGGAAACGAGAAGCTGCCGCCTGCAGCGCGAGCCGAACTGCAAAGCCTTCCAGGATTGCAAGTGGAGCTGATTCACGGTGAGCCACTAAGCCCTGCGCTTTACGAATTTAGACAGGGTGGAATGTGTGCTTGCTGCCTGGCTGGGGCAATGCATGTGTTGCAGGCGGTTGATGGATCACGAGGCAATCTTGGAATTTCATTTCGATAGAATATCGAACGAAATGCATGTGCTACCAAAGGTGTGCTTTAACACTTGCATCGTCGCCATTATGATTCATGAGGGCAACTCCATGCATTCCTCGTGGGTAGGTGAGAAGAGACTCGGTGCGAGAAGCCTTGCAAGACTCTCTCGGGTTGCCTCCTGCAGGTGCCTGTGCCCATCATCCACTTCCGTACTCAAAGGATCATGGGACTTAGTAAGTGCGGTTATAAATAAGGTAACTATACTTATACGTACTTATAACCCCAACTAAGGCAGTTATAACCCTACTTACTAAGTCCCATGCTCCTCCAAGTATTCATGTCTAAGAGAACCGTCAATCGATGGCAGCCCGAAGCCGGATCCCTCGAAACTAACCCCCTTAAACTTTAAAAGAGGACTCTTAATAATTGCAATATGAATATGGTTTGGGGGTTGTTGAACGTATACCTATGTGGCTATACGGGGCTTGCAAGGTGTAAGACGATTCTAAGTCTTCAAGCCTCCATCTAGGTTTTCCTGAAAAAAGCTTACTTACCCAATAAGCCACAGAAACGAAAGGTTAAACTTTTTGGTTCCTAGTGAACTATAAGAGCCCAACCAGTTTAAAGGTTGCTTGATGGATCATGTGACTTAGGAAGTAAAGTTATAAGTACCTTAACTGGGGTTCTAAGTTCTAAGTATAGCTACGTTATTCATAACCCTACTTACTAGTCCCATGATCCTCCAAGTGGGTATTGGGGATCTAACAAAAGAAGCCGGGGAGCATGGCTGCGTAGCGAATCTCGGGAGAACGACACAGGCAGCTGAGGCCTCACGTGATGCGAAAAGGCCTTTCGTCTGAACTACCGGAAGGTAAAGGGTTCCTTTAAAAAGGGGGTCTTTAAGGGCTAGTATAAGGGGATCTATAAGGGTACCATAGTATTGGGGCCTGAATACTCAGAATAGGGTTTTGGGGTATATTATACGATAGTTACAATAAAGAACCAAAAATAATGTGTAGGTAAGTATTAAGACCCATATAGTATACATACCCAACTGGACAGACGGAGCGGTACGTCTATCTAAAATGGCTGTATCCACCGAACTTTTGGAACATCCTTCTAGATCTCGCGCTTCGCAGCTCTTCGGAAAAGAAACACCGATCCCCATCTCGCAAGTTCCATAACCCGGTTGAACAATATGGGAGTTTCCGAAAATAGGGGACCCTAATATAGTACCCCAAATAGTAGGATCCTTGTTATAAGGACCCCCAAAAAGGTACCCCTAATTTTCGGAAACTCCCATATCTCTCCTGGCACCAGAGCGTTTGAGGCACCATGGGATTAAGCACACAGATTATGACGGCGAGCGGTATCAGCAGGGTCTTAGCTACGAGCAACTCCAGTTGTCTGCCTAGCTGCACAGTCCTTTTATCCATCAAGTGTGTAGACATGTCAAGGCGTATTCACGGGATCCTATGTTAGACTCGGTAAACCCAGAATCTAAAGAATGCTCTCTGCCAGTTCGAAGGTGGCTGAATGCCAAGGTTTATCCTGAACAAGTCTTCCCGATACAACTTAAACGGGTCTATTGGTTGAGGTTCTCGGCTTGTCAGGTCTAGGGTCATGGGCATAGGCTGTTGGGTTCAGGGTGGTAGATGCCCCAAGCGTCCCTTATAGCATCCCTTATAGTACGCAACTTTTACACTTACAATGGTAACCTAACCTGAAATCCTAAACCCATCTATCCCCTAAGCCCAAACCCCACACCAACCCTTCGTACCCGTCAGGTTATCCTTCAGCCTCTCGCAGCCTGGCATCTCGAAGCCCCTGAACGCCAAACCTGACAGCCAAGGTGTACCTGAACAAGTTAATAGAATTCATGTAATAGTATTTGCTCATGACCGTTTGTTTTATTCTTGCTACTATTCCCATTATTGCTATTGTTATTGTTGATATTTTTGTTATCGTTACTTGCTCATGTTTGCTCTCCCGGCGGCCGTGCTCCGAGCGGACTCCGCTCCAAGTCGATGCCGTTGGCCTGTCAAGCTTAATTTCTGGGGTTCCTCAAGGATTCGGGGGTTCCTCAATGGCCTCTACAAGGATACTGTATAATGCAAGTCCTGCCTACTGCATCCCGCGTGGCTTAAGCCCTGTAAGAACTCTGAAACTCGCAAGGGCAATGCAAGCCCAAGCCAATTCGCCCGAAGTGCCTACCCGAACCCTAAGAAGCACGTGAAACAACAGCCCGACTCTCATAAACAGGCGATTACTCTACAGACTTTTCGGGTCAAGTATAAACGGTACACCTAAGGATCAGGTCCTTACCAAAAAGGACCACGGCAATGCAAGCCCGCGCCCAAGCCAATTCGCCCGAAGGCTCATGCAAGCCTTCGACTGGTGACTTGGACTTGCCCCAGGGCTGATCGGCAGCAGCGGCTCCGTCAAAGGCGACGAGGATGCACGCGACGCCTCCGTCCTGCTGTTTATGGCTAGGGTTTAGGAAAATATGGAGGGGTTCGGAACAGCTTGCTCGCGGCAGGCTCTCTGGCCTCCTGACACTCGCACAGCGCAGCGACAACAGATTATACAAGCCCTGTGCGAATGACAGGAACCATGGACCGACTGCTAGAAGTAGCACCTGCGGCATCCAAAAGCCCGACTCCGTCTGTTGGAAGTGAGTGCTAGCGGCTGCTAGCGGGTGCAAGTGCTTGTTGGGCTTCCGGCGCCGCGCAACGGAGAAGGAGCGACGAACTCAAAAGCTTACCCTTGGTTAGTAGGGAATGGAGGAATGGGGTACAATTGTAACTACTATCACTACCATTCTTCCATTCAATACCTACTAACCAAAGTTAAGAAAGAGGGAAGCATGGCCTGGCGACTTGTCCTTGCGCGCCACCAACACCATTGCTGCCTTGCAGCTGCCTGGGTACATCACTGGTACAGTCTTGAGCAGTTTGTGCATCTCATGGTGTTTAGGACGTGGTCCCCTGAATGCACATTTTTATCTGTACATATATATATATATATAATAATCTACATATATATGTATATACACATGTGTATATATATATATATATATATATATATTCTTTTTTTCATGGCACCTCGTCGCGATCTTTACACACGGAGAGCTCAGAGATGCATGGGAGTTTCCGAATCCCTAATATAGTACCCTAAATAGTAGGGTCCTTATCATAGTATAGTAAGGACCCCAAGAAAAGTACCGCTAATTCTCGGAAACTCCCGCATCAGTTCTGGCACCCGAGGCCCGCCTGGTGAGTGCCTGGTTCAGCGCCATCACCTCGTCAGAGAAAGGTTAGGTACTGCCCCCTTACAGTAAGAGTCTATAATAGGGCTACTATTAAGGTCCTATAATATATATATATATATATATATATATTTGTATATTATGACCTCAGGCTAGGATTTAGGGACCTCGTCAGAGAAAGGCCAAAAAACTCCGAAGTGCCAAGGAGCATCTACACCAACTGCAAATCAAAGCTAAACAGACATGCCTGTGCCAGCAAACACCTCTTACTTGCTAAGGAACATAAAGATAACAATCATAATAACAATCATCATCATAACAATAATAATCATAATAATCACAATATTCAGAAGTACTAAACCACCTCTTCCATGCCATGGAACCGATGTAGCATGCTTCCTTGGCGACCTGTGCAAGCTCCTGTCCTTCGAAGAACCCTCAACAACCTTAAATCGCGCACCCTGATGGGACTGTCACACTTTAATTATGATGGTCATATTCATGCATGCAATAAGAAGAACAATAAAGAGTGAATGCTTATATATGACAGTAATTGCAGAGGGGACCTGTTGGATGGCCGTCAACTGGCTCTGGAGTAGCCCGTGAAAGCCTGGCGTGGCACGAGAGTGCATCGAAACGTCCACTCTGATTTGGCGCGTCTACCTGATCCCGTATCAACGCTAGACTATCATGATGACGCCCATGACCCGATTCTGATATCGGCGATGGTGACTATGACTGTGATCACTGCAATAAGCCGCAATAGAAGAGCCAGGAGGAGAAGGGGGAGGCGCTCGAAACCACTTAGTAGCCAAGTCCAACCTATCAACAGCAGATCTGCCCATGCCAAAGCTGCTTGTGCCCTGCCCGTCACGACTCCAACTATCACGACCAGTATTTCGATGATAGGGTAGGGTGTTGTACATGCAGGATGACTACCGCAGCAGGGACCAATCAAAGCCCTTCCCCAGAGATTTGCCTGCTTCTTGCTCGCGATCCATCTCGGTCCGCGGAGCCATGCCAAATGCCATGCTGACGAGACTCGGGTCGAGGCTGTGGCGCCAAGGGAATCCCCAATGCTCTCAGCTATGCCTAGCTTCTGAGATCGGGCGAGGACGGCTAGGAGCTGGCAAAGCTGCGGGTACATAAGAAGACTTGGCCTTAGAGAAATCTGAGGATTCGGTGGGATTTCTGTTCCGTATTCTGTATTCGAGCCGACTGCTGCCATCAAGAATCCCTCCTTGTGCTGGTGCAGACCCTGCTCTCCCAAAGCCCTGAGTCTTGCCTTGCAGGCCGGCTAGCTCGTTAGTTTTTGAGGGTTTAGGGTTTGGGGAACCTTCAAAACAATCGGATTGGACAGGTGGGGAGCAGGTTGAGGCTGTCTAGAACTAAGTTCAGGCACTCTTGCCGTGGCCAGCCATAGCTCGAGGCTATCATCCAAGGGTAAAAGGAGGGACCCTCAATAAGGACCCCTGGGTATATACCCTTAATACAGCTAGTGTATACCCATTATATATAGCCCATTATAGGGTAGGGGTCCCCATTAAGGGTCCCTCCTTTTCCCCTTTTGATATCAGTAAGATTAGAAGCTCTTTCATATCAGAGTCGAGCTGCATGTAACTGCTGTTTCTCGAGCGCTGAAGGAAAGGGAGGCGGTTCCATTTTCCACCATTAATACGACTTTTAAGACCTTTGGTCAATGAATCGGCATGGATGGATGGTGGTGCCTACTCTCAAGATCTGATATAGTTATACCTCGTTGAAACCGGCTGCGTTATCATACGACTTGCAAAACACGCAAGTGCATTGCGAGTGAATCTTCTACGAAGTGGTACTGGCATGGCCAGGCTTGCACATGATGATAACGGTTAGATTCTGAACATCCACGAAGCAAGCCGGACTGATAATGCTGCTGGCTCCCACTTCAACCGTCTGCAGAATAAACTCTCACAGCCGGACTAACCTCATGATTCAACATACTTTGTCAGTGCCTAACTCTAGACCCTAAACCCTAAAATCACGAAACGCAGCAAGGGTTTCGACGGTCACACTCGCACAAGGTCGGCAAGGAGAAGACGTCAGGGTCAGCATTTGCGGAACCCTCAAGCTTCAATGCTCTTAGTTGCTGAGTTCATAAGCCCCCAAAGTGGACACTTTCAGTTTTATGGTGGGTAATATTCCCCCGAAATGCATGAAAGTGTACCCAATCAGCTACTTATGGTGGGTTCTATTCTCGCAAAAAGTGTAAAAAGTGCATCCACTCAGCCCTAAACCCTAAACCCTTTTTGAGTCACGGGCTGGGCCGGACCCTAAACCCTGTAACCCTAAACCCTAAACCCTATAACCCTAAATGCAAGCCCCCGGGCAGCTCAAATCTGGAATCGCCTGGAGCGGCGCTCCCAGGGCCTCAGAGCAAGAAGTCCCAGATCTTAGGGTTCCTTTAAAGGGCTCCGTAAAGGGATCTATAGGGGTTCCTTAAAGGGATCTATAGGGTTTAGTACCTGAAGTGGGGTTATAAGTTAGAAGCTGCCCCCTGTAATTGTCACTATACCTGGACCCTAAGGAACGTACCTTTTTGTGGGTTCCCTAATATGATTTCTTTATATCAGTGCTTAAAAAGGTAGGTTACTTGGGGTTGAGGTAAGGATTATATTAGGGTCCTATCATATTCCTATTATACCACTATTTCAGGGTGGGGGCCCCTTCTAACCCAGATCCGATCCCATTGAGGTGCCTCGAGGTTCTGGTTTAGGGTTTAGGGTGTAGGGTTTAGTGTTTTGCCCATAGTTTCCATTGTAAGTCCTTTTTGCGGAGTTACCTTATAATATAGGATCCTAAAAATAGAAATTTTTGAAGCCAGAAACTGGACATACAATGGAGACTATAGGTACTTCCCTTCTTGCAGCATATGGCAACTTCTACTTCAAAGGCATGGAATCCAGGAATTTAGGTATAGGTGTGCCCAACATTTCGAACTTAAACAGATGTGCAGCTTTGTACTCACGGACGTCTCCATGAGCTACGATTCCGGGATGCGAATGCCTATTGCGGAAATGCTGGCAGCAAGTGTCCAACATCAGGCAAACGGGGGCTGTTCCAATTCTTCCAAGCTTCAGCACCTGAGGAAGCCGTTGGAAGACAATCTTCAATTAATAATCCCGGAGGAATATATCTTGCATCATATTAGGGGTCCCGCTTTCACTTGGGCTGCAGTCTTGAGCTAAGGGATCTTGGAAGGTTCGGGCGGTTTGGGATCTGCTCATGGACGCTCCGAAGCTCCGAGTGACGAAGCTCCGAGTGACGACACAACTTAAACCCCTTGAAACCGAACCTGAGCTTAGAAGCCCAAACCTGAAATCCTTTTTGCATCCAGGACTCTTGCAATCAGCCGGGAAAATGCACAAGACAGCGCAGACCCCTAAACCCTAAACCCTTTTTGCATCCAGGCCTATTGCGACTGCCGGGTACCCTGAAGAAAGAAGAAACACACAAGACACCCCATGCGTTGAACCCTAAACTACACCCTAAACCCCTTTTGCCCAAACCCAAACACCTACCAATAGAAGTCCTTGAGGTGCCTTATTCAAGTTCTAGCTTTAGCATACCCAAAAGCACAAAGTCTAGTTACACCTTCGGCCCGTCTACCCATTCTACTCCAGTTCTTCAGGCCCGTCTCCTAACTCAGAATAGTATAGCTAAGGAAAAGAAAACTAATATGCTAGTAACAATAATAAGTATAACAACAGCAATGCTCCGAGCAGCTGGTCCCAAACACCCCCGAGGTTGAAGTCCACGGCTTCGCATTGCTTTGGCCGGAGGTCTCCATCTGTTTGAAAAGGGCGTTTCCGAAAACAGGGGGGAACCTAACATACTACCCTAACTAGTAGGATCCTTATTCTAAGGGCCCCAGAACAAGGTACCACTAATTTTCGGAAACTCCCAAAAGGGTTTCAGGGCTCAGGGCAGATGGTTTACGCTCTCGCAACTCGGACAAACCAGAGGAGGTCTCTTGGAGGGCAGATGGTTCAGGGTTTAGGGGGCGGATATCGGGTCAAGATGAAATCTGACAGGTTTATGGGGTTGAGAGATCAGGGCCAGGGCTTCAGGCTTTCGGCTCTCACGACTTGGCGGAGGCTCCGAGTTGGCGGAGGATTTCCGGAGGTCGGCTTTGGCACGAGCTAAGGGATAAGAGAAGGATTCTAGGAAGGAGCCAGCAATGTGTTCAAGGCTCGCCGAGGCAGTTAGCACGTCACTCCGTTTGCGCGTCCAGTGTGTACTGCACAAGAAGCCAATGACGGCCGAAGCGAATGCTGCGACGCTGCCTGGCGTGCGCCCGGCGATCACCCGGCGAGCAGCAGCCAACAGGCGATAGAAGCCATGCAAGCCTGGCACGGCCGGGGAGAACAATCCTCTACATGCCGAGCGCTCAAACCAGTCGGCATCATTCATCCTGCTCCCCAGTCTTTTTGGCTGATGTCGGGGCCTGCGAAGGGATCGCCCCCTTCGGGCTTGGGACCCACGATCGCCGCCACGTCCGACCACATGGCAGGCAGCACCTGCCAGCTGCTGCTGCTGGGACATTCTACATTCTGGTTGAGTCCGCAATACAGGGGCACCTGCCATCAATGCGCCAAGCTTTTGGTGGTGTGGATCTTGGTGATTCTTGAGTTTCGGGAATGCACGAACACGGCACTCGAGCGCCTTTTTTCGAAGGGCCTCAGGATGAAGCAGAGTCTATGTGGGTCAACGCTGTATGAGGCGGCGTTTTGATCACGACAGCCTGAAAACTTGGAGCAGAGTATCCCAGTATCCTGGGGAACCGAAGGTTAACCTTTGGGAGTTATATTGGGATTACAGAAGGGTTATAGTTCCCCAAAAGGGAGGCATCATGCTGGTAGTAGTCCGATACTCGAGTTCGATCCTCACACCTTTGGCCAACATCCCATCTCCTTTGCAGATTTTCAAAATAAGCACGTAAGCAGCCATTTAATGTCTTCACATATAGCTATAAGCCAGCCGTAACATGTCTAAGCTAGGCGTGCCATGAACATTGTCTTGGCGACCTCTGATTCATCGAGTCAGAGAACGGTGATGCTCTATGGCTAGGGCAGTGTGGCTTTCTTCGTCCACTTCCCCTCAAACTGACCCTCCGGAAAGCGTATGGCATTGTTTTCCCATCTGGCCTCAGGTAGTGCACAAGTGGGGCCACACAAATGCTGTAGTGTTCAGGTTTCCGGGGCACTTGGAAAAGCTTGCTTCTCTTGCCATGCCGCTGCTTGTTAAGCTGCTTCACATTCCGACGACACCCAAAGCAAGCACATGCTTCCATGCTACATGGGTGGTTGTCAAAATTATGGTCCCTTTTTGGGTCCCTATAGTAATACGGCACCTATTATTTAGGGTACCCAAAAAGGGACCATAATTCTGACAACTACCCACATTAATGCAGACACAGTCGCGAGCCCAAGTCTCCGAATGCAAACATCCAAGATCAGAAACATGGGAGTTTCCGAACATCGGGGACCCTAATATAGCACCCTAAATAGAAGATCCTTATATAAGCCTTATAAGGGCCCCAAAATATGGTACACCTAACCGAAGTCCTACATGTTACAATGCAGGCGAAAGGCTATGAGGCGCTCGGGACCCCCACGGGTGCGGAAGTCCAGAATCAACTCCTGATAAGATCTGTCAGGCATGTGACTCTTTCTGCAACTTGCCACCCAAAACCCTAAACCTCTCTGCGTCAGGTGCATAGCCCTTGAGGTACGTGCGCCATGTCAGCAGGGGTGTTCCTAGTGATGGGCATAGTCGTTGTCATGGGTAGGCGCAGCGGCCAGGGATTTTGGTCGTCCACAGGTTATGAGCACCAAGTTCATGCGTCCACGTTGTGGGGGTTGCTGGCAACTGGAAAGGGTGCTTGGACCAAGGCATCAGGTGCTGGAGGAGGCTTTTCTGCTTGCCAACGAGGGAGTGCGCAGGCGCGTGGCCCATTATGTGTGCGCCACTCGGGGGGAGAATGATCAGCGCCAGGCAGTAAGTTTGTCCACGATCCCTAGATCCTCTGTTCCTTAAGCTCCAACCGGTCAGTCCAAGACCAAGGTGCATTGCAAGCCCATTCATGCAACAAAAGCACCTGAATTAGAGTACAGTTTCTAAGGTATCCTTCATGGAAAAAGGCAAACCCTGAACCCCTAGTTCAGAACCCTAAGCTCTCGACCCCTGACTGCCCTAACTGAGGACCCTGAACCCTTAGCCGCCTAAACTTTCTTTATGGCGCCCTATAAGCCCCAAACCCCCGAATCCCTGGAAGCTCTAAACCCTTACACCCCGAAAGCCCCGGTGAGCCCTAAACCGCCTAAACTATAAGCCCCAAACCCCTGAAAACCCTTTTGCTGCAGGCTTGCACGCAAGGGCGCCTGGTAGCTTCCGCCCCCCTGAAAACTCTAAACCCTAAACCCCCCAACCCCTAAAACCCTAAACCCCTAAAGCCCCCCAACCCTGAAAGCCCTCTTCAAGCCACCTCACAGAACCCCAAACCCACAGCCTGGATGTCGGATGTCACTCGTGCTAAACCCCTAAGCCCTCTTCGAGCTAAGATGCGTTGTAGGCCGCCAGGCTCAGCTTGCCTGAGACGCTCCATGGCCGCTCCTGCGTTGACAGGGCGGGCATTTATAGGGTTTTTAGGGTTCCTTTAAGGGTCCCTTTTAAGGGATCTATGGGGTCTTAGGATTTGCAGGGTTTTAAGGTTCCTTTGAAAGGTACTATGAGGGTTCCTACAAAGGATCTAGGGCTTGGAGGTTTTTGGGTTTACACTTCTGAACTGTTCAGGCTTTATTGCCAGGTAGGCAAAGCATCCGCCATTTGTTTGCTAACAGGTCAGCCTTAGTACTCACGTACCATACCGAAGCTACATCCATTCCTTCTCGCCGTTCCCGCAGCCGGGTTTGCCTTCCGCTGCGTCGATGGTGACCTTCGACATGCAGTTTAGGTTTCTTTCAGTAAAGAAGCAGAGGTCTCGGTGGCTGCAATGGGCATGGCAAACTGTTGGGCGGCAAAAGAATTGCAGGAATCACGAAAGTTCCATGCGCTTCCAACCGTGAAGCATACTACGGTTCTGCATGCACGCAGACAATGTGGAAACATGTTAACGTGCGTGCTTGTCTTCTCAAAGACAGCCTGCCTTCATGCCTTCCACCCGCACTTCCCGCTTGCAGCCCGGATGGTCGGGGTCCTCATAGGAACCTCAATTGAGCGGGCTTGTATTTCACATCATTGGACCTTCCCAGGAACCTACATAGCTCTACGGCTATACGACCATGAGGACACAAGCCGCGACCCGAGTTTAACAACAGCGGTCAAACCTTGTGAATGATGCGCTGGCATTCCCAACGGGCAAATTCCCACAATCCCCGCGAGCATTGAGCTCCAGCAGCTAAGTTCCACTCGACAAGTGTCTAAACCCTACGCCGAGTTCGAATCCCATGAACTATGAACTGCTCCAAACCCTAAACCCGAAACCCACCACAACCTGCAGGAATCCAGCTTATCGGCCATGCCACCCTGCCAGTCGGGCACCTGAGTCAGCTGGGCCCAGCTGACCGCGGGCCTTGCTCTGGCAGTGAGTTTGATTCCAGAATGCTTTTCGGCCTTTGCTAAAGTCTGACATCAGTATATAATATAATAGGCCTCTACGGGGCCCCATGCGGCCCAGCATGTGCCTGCGCACCCGACGCGACGCCTACCGTCCATAGCACAACGACGACAAGCAATGTTTCTGGTGATCCGAGCTTGCCTTGCGACACGGTTTCGCATGGTGCTGTACCATGTCCATCATCCCCTTCGCCCCCCCCCCCCCCCAAAAAAAAAAACATGATTTTCCTCAGACCTGTATTTGCAAGATCCGCCACCTTGAAGTCTCAGCTCATAGGTTCAGCTAGAGTGTGAGGGCGGCGGGTGGCCACAGCCGTTCACCGGAGTCGCCCTGCTTTGCCCAGGGGCTGAAGCACGGGTGCCAGGGCAGCTGCCAGGGCAAAGCGGCGGCCAAGCCCGGTGGCCGGAGCTGAGAAGGCCGGAGCCGTGGGCCTCACAGTGCCAAAGTCCGGGATTCGGCTTGTCAGTTTGAACACAACACAGTACCCTAATATACCTTTTTGCATCCAGGCCTATTGCGACTGCCTGGTAGCCTGAAGAAAGAGGAAACACACAAGACAGAATGCCTTGCATGCGACCACTCTCAACAACATCATACATACCTTAAACTACCAAACCCTACTTTTTTGTGGGTTCTGATTGTAAACCCTAATATGGAATTTATAGGGACCCTACAAAAAGTAGGTTTTGGTAAGTTAAGGTAGTAATATAGTAGGATCCTTATTGCGGGCTTGAGGAACAGTCGTGAGACTGAGATTCGCAAGCGGAAGCACAAGGGTTCCCCAAACACCAAACCCAGCCTGTGCCACTGCATCATCACCGCCAGCATTGCCTGGGCAGAAGCGATTCCTTTTGAGGCCTAGTTCCAGGGCCTGGATGCATCTCACTTGCCTGCTCCCATGTGCCTCACTCGGGACCACCTGAACGCAGCTCCGTCCTGAGGCCGGGACGAAACACGCAAGGGCGCGCGAGCGACCGCGCGCTGCTGGGCTTGTCATGGCACCGGGTGGAGTGCGGATGAGTCTCGTGGTTTGCTGTGTCCGTGTCCACGGCTGCTTGGGACACCTGATGTCACGGTCTGCCGACAGCCTTGTCAAGCGTCAGATGTCACTGTCTGAGTAAGGTTGGCCTCTGCTCATGCAGGTATTCATCATGGTGTTCAGAAGTGTTGCTAAATCGCACTGAGACATGTTGATCCCTCTTGCCTGCGAGCGCACGCATCTTTCTCGAAACATGCGGCTTAGCATTCTGTGATCTGCATTTTTACAATTTATGACTTGACACCTCCAGGGGGCTCTGCACGGTGTAACATGACAAGCCTCTTACACATGCATCTGCATGCCTCACTTGGAGGCCCTTTTGACTTACTAAGTAGGGTTAGTAAGGTGGGTTATGGGGATTATAATAGGGGTTCTCGGGGGTACTAAGTAGACTTACTAAGTCAAAAGGGCCTCCAAGCAGTCCGGCAACCGTACGAAGCCCTGGTCCCCAAACTCTTCGAGGCGGAGCACGTTGAGAAGGTTTGATTCAAGCTACTTGTGCGATCCGTGTCTCTGTTGCTTGGTCAGAAAGGGATATCCAAAATGTGACCACCATTTCCCACACCCCTAATTATAGATTCAAACCAAGACCCTAAACCCTCTCTCTCTCTCTCGCTCTCTTCCCTAAGTCGAAAAGCTGAAAAAACCCCAAACCCTTCATTACATCCCAAACCCATGAAACTTGAAACCCAGTGAGAGTTTCAGAATTGCCAGGAACCCTTCGGATCGACCTGAGACAAGTCGGATCCCGGCTATGAGGACTCCTACTATAGGGGCCTTAAGAATTGGAATAGGGTTCCTTTAAAGGGTTCCTTAAAGGGGTCTATACGGGATCCAAATCTATAGTGCGATTCTATGGTATAGGGGCCTCAAGAATTAGAATAGGGTTTTGCGGCTGCTTATACCATAATTGTAATAAGGAGCCCCCAAAATAGTATAGGTAATTATTACTAAGGCCCCCTTATTACATCAGGGACTCGTGATTTTGAGAACCCCCGTCGTCGCAAGGGGCCTGCACAACTGCGAGACGGCAGGCGAGGTGCTCCTCGGAATAGGGTTTAGGGTTTAGGGGTTTAGGGGTTTAGGGTTTAGGGGTTTAGGGGTTTAGGGTTTAGGGGTTTAGGGGTTTAGGGGTTTAGGGTTTAGGGTTTAGGGTTTAGGGGTTTAGGGTTTAGGGTTTGAGGCAGCATCTAATAATGATCGGAATAGGGCTTCCAGGGTTTTGGTGTTGTCATACTATCAAGTTGACAAGGAGCCTCAAACACACTGCATTGTTAACTGTTGCCAATTATAAGGAAGAAAGTTATGTGCATCTGAATGTGCTAATTAAGCAATTTCAGAAGATGAGGATGTGGACCCTAACTTGTCGAATCCAAGCTATGCAGACCCTTACCCTCAATAAGGGGGCCGCCATTCTTAATGCCTACCCATAGGATCCATAGTAGCTCCTTTTTGGGATTACCGTGTAGGATTCTAAATGTGAACACCAAAAGGAAACTACTAAGCAGGTTCTAAATATGAACCCCCAAAAGGAACTACTACGGAGATTCTAGATATGAACCACAAAACGGAACTACTGTGAAGATTCAACATAAAAACCCCCAAAAGGAACTACAATGGAGATTCTACATATGAACCCTAAAAAAGAAACAACAATTGAGATTCTAAATAGGAGCCCCCAAAGGAACTACTATGGAGATCCTAGATATGAACCCCAAACAGGAACTACTGTGGAGCCTACGGGTACCCTAGTGGCCTCCACCAGCACCTTAGAGAGGAGGCCGATGATGGAGGGTGCCTCGCCACTCCAGCCTGGCTTCTTTGAGGTTTAAGGGTTTCGGCGCTCACACTCGTAAGATTTTACGCTCTCACAATTCGGACAATGCCAGGCGAGGTTCATGGGTTCACACTCGTAAGGGTTTAGGGTTTGTAATTTTCTGTCTGGTTCTTTGTAGGGAATGCGGGAATGGGTTATGGGGACCACTATTGGGGATTATAATAATATGGGGACTACTATAGGGATCCATTCCCGCATTCCCTCCTAAGCATCAAACAGTTTTTCTCCAGCTTGCGCCGAGGTGGTTTTACGTGTAGGGCTGCGGTGCCACAGGCCAGGGTGTCGGTTTGGGGGTTCAACATGGGAGTTTCCGATTATAGGGGACCCTGTATAGTACCCTAAGCAGTAGGATCCTTCTTATAAGGACCCCAAAATAAGGTACCCCTAATTTTCGGAAACTCCCACATAGCCCTCATTGGACTTCGAAAGGCCTTCATGCAGAGCCTCTTTTCCTACCGTTCCCTACCGAACTGTTATGTACTGCCTCAGCGGTGCTTACAACTTGGCAGCAATTGGGTCACAAACCTAACAGGACAGGCAATTACTGATTCCAGCATTTCATTCTGCATGTTCGGAGCAACGCAGAACTCCAGCACCTTTTCCAATTCATGCAGTACCGAGGCCTGGCATCAAAGGCCGCTGCAGAAAATTTGGCGAAGCATGGAGCACAAACTCGTGAGGCTTCTCACTCTCGCTCGAAGTTTCTTTCCAGAAAGCCCCGTCCCTGCTATCTTTCCCCTGCTTTGAAGCCAGCATGCATGTGCTCTTGCAAAGCTCTCTAGAAAACTGGTGACACGTTGCGCTTATATCGCGCCACTCGCGTGTTCAGTAGGGCTAGGGAGAGCACACAAGCACATCAGACGTTACACCTTGAAATCAGTCAGGCAGCTTCCTGCGAACTGTACACGCGCAGCTTCTGAAGCCACATAGGCGCAGCATGCTTTCACTTCTGCAACCGTGACTGGCATGCCAACTGCAGGCTGGAATTTCACCACGACAAGGGTGCTGCAAATACTTCACCTTCGCTTGTTACTCTTGCTACTGCTCCTCCTTCTCCGTTGGCCCCCGCTAGCTACTAACTAGGGGCATGCTAGTGCACACGCTGCTTCAGAAGCCGCGGCTCTGCGGTGGCATCAGTAGCTTCACGAGAGTAGTTTGGTCGGTGTTGCTAAGCGCCTCGGCACTTCGGCTGCTAGAGCTTGCCACACCCCCGTGCGGCTAGCGCTACTTGCAGGCAGGCATGCGGAAATGATACCCTTCTCGTACACCCCGCCAATGACATTCAATTGGTTGCGGACGGAACTATCAGGAACTGGGGTGCGGGGCTGACAATGAGCTTACAGACAGCTGCGCCGGCATCAGAGGCTCGGATCTTGGCGATGCATCAAAAGACTTGATGTCAACACACTTAGGGGATGCAAGCGACGATACCGGCCCATGCCGGCAGCTTGCAGCAACGGACCACGAGAGTTATAACAACAAACATGAGCACCATCATAACACGAACAACTGCATTTTACAGTAACAGTGACTAAAAATGGTAAATACACAACAGTAAGAATACCTGTTTTAAGCCATAACAGACAGACAACGACCTGACATCCTATCACCCTTACTACCAGTGTCTCGCTGTAACTGTCCGGAGTTCTATCATGATGATTGTTGCCAGCATTGTTCACACTACCACTACCACTACGACGACTACTACTGCTACTGCTATCAACAGTTTCTCGTGCTTTGCTGATGATGCGTATTATTACTGGTAGTGGTATAGCTATGTGAAACAATTAAGTCTCGCAGACGTTTTCTCGCATCACATCCACTGAGGCGGCCACGTACAGAACGCCGAAGAAGAGAATTGTTATCACCTGGTGTGCTTTGGGACTAGAAAAAGGATGACTGTCATGTTTGGGTGGCTGCCATACAGGTTCCAGAAGCCTTGAGGTCTGGCGGGCCTTCAGAACTCACTCTCGGACAAACCTTGGCGAGCTTTAGGGTTGCTGTACTGTAGGGGTTGTGTTGAGGGTTCCAAAATGCCATACATGCTTCTGTGCGTTTGTTGGTCCGGTTCAGGGGTCTAGGGGTTTTGGACCGAAAGCCGTGGAATCTCCCATCACAAGCTTGAGCTGTCTATGCAGAGGTCCTCATACAAGCAGGTTGCAATTTGTAGCAGAACTCGCACTCGCCCCAAAGCCCCAAGGCTCAATTTAAGGCCTAACCTTAATTGTAAGTAGATCAAGGAACCCCCCAAAATAGTATAGGGAAGTAGTTAAGGCCCTACATATGCCATTCTGGCGAGTCTGGGGCTGCCACCCCCTGGATGAGCCGAGCATTGCCCATGTACATGAGGCCACCGGCATCGTTGATCTCACTGTTGACTCGCCTCGGGGCTAGGTCCAGACCACGCAGTAGACTCAAAAGATCATACTACCCAGGGGCTCCATAGTAGTTCCTTTTTGGGATTACCTTATAGGATTCTATATATGACCCCCAAAAAGGAACTACTTTGGAGCCTTAGGGTATATGTTTGCAGCCTGACATCCACTTACCGGCGCTTGTATTCTGTTATCTTATCTATTCGTTCGACTGCCATATCTCAACAGCGGTACGGCTTCCAAGCCCAATGGCTCTCTGTAGCGCTTGGTCATCTGGACGCGGATCTCCATCACCTCATCCGGGAAGATCTCGTCGCCCATGATGGCCTGGCTGCAATCACACGTTGTCCGGGACAAGCAGCTGAAGTATACTGAGCCGTGTAAACGAACTAGTCAGCATAAACACGAAGTGCATTCGACCTCTTTCCCTTCCTTTGAACCACGAGCAAATCTATACTGCAGCTGTGGCGCGTTGTAGGCAGTAACCAGCTTCGAGAATCCTCAGCTATCTCTCTCCGCAGAATACCACCCAGATAATATGCTATCAAAATAACAACTAATTCTACTGTCACTAAACTAGTGTTGTGCTCATCTCCTTCTAACCCGCTTTTCCATCATGACCGTTGACAATTATCCCAGCTGACCCCAAAATGCAGGATCTGCCTCAGGCTGTGTCTACTCCACACCTACACTCCGAGATCTTAGTGCGAGCACTCGGAAACCCTTGACGGCCCTTGACATTCCCGAACACCCTTTTCATTCCCGAAGGCTCCAGATACCTATACACCTATACAGCGAGACCTATACCAGGAAACTGTTAGGTTTACAGTAAAGCTCTATATCGAGTTATGGTTTAGGGGATACGAGTCCGCGAAATCATGTCATATACATCAAAGTTACTTTGCAGGAACCTCTGTAAAGGCCCCCCCAATGCTTGTAGGCTACCCTTTAGGACAAAGGCAAGGACTCGTGGCTTGGTCCACGTATGATTGGGGAACCCCAGCGCCTGACCCTGGTTTCTTGCTGAGGTCCCTGGACAAATAAGTTAACTTTACAAATATCGTGCGACTGTATGATCCCGCAAACTCTAGTTGTGCCACTGAGAACCTGCCCTGCCATCCAGCGGAGGTGGGTTACAACCAGCACCCGAACTGGAAGGCATTATACAGATCCACGAGGACGTCCCGAAAAGGACCCAGACCCAAAGGCATACATAATAATTAGGACATGAATTTGGAGAACAACCCGATCATGAGGACACCCACTTGTACAAACCTTCCGTTATCCAACCACCGAATCTCGAATTATAATCCTGGAAAACTTCCTTATCGACCTATCTGTCTATCAATTTGTGAGTATATGTATATGGGTGGTTGTCAAAATTGAGTTCCGTTGTTGGGTACCCTAAAGAATAGGTGCCGTAACTACACTAAGGACGCAAGGGACCCTAACTTTGACAACTAGCCATATAGTATCACCCTAAATAGTAGGATCCTTATTATAAGGTACCCAAAAAAACTACACACTATTTTTTCGGAAACTCTAAACCCTAAACTCTTTATAGAACCCTTATAGATCCCTTTAAGGAGCCCTTATAGATCCCTTTAGGGAGCCCTTAAAGGACTTGAGCTGCTCTCCACTCATTTCTAGGCGAAGCTTCGCTTCTCGGCCTCAGGGTCCTCGGGGTTCACATCCGGATGCTCCTCGGCGAGGAATGCGTGGCATTCATGTAGTAGTATATATGGTAGTAGTACTACTACTACAGCAGTAGTAGGAGTAGTAGTAGTAGTAGTAGTAGTAGTAGTAATAGTAGTAGTAGTAGTAGTAGTAGTAGTAGTAGTAGTAGTAGTAGTAGTAGTAGTAGTAGTAGTAGTGGTCGCAATAGCAGTAGCAGTAGCAGCAGCAGCAGAAGTAGAAGTAGGAGTAGGAGTAGGAGTAGGAGGAGTAGGAGGAGTAGGAGGAGTAGGAGGAGGAGGAGGAGTAGTAGTAGTAGGAGTAGTAGTAGTAGTAGTAGTAGTAGTAGTAATCAAAATAAGAGTACTGATAATCGTAGTAGTGATAGAAATCGTAGTACTACTACAGTACGAACAATAATGCACACACACACACTCTCTCTCTCTCCGTCTCTCTCCATTCACAAGTGAGCAGATCGAATATACAGCATACACATAGGCCCAGACCCCCGGGCGGATCTAGAAAGTAGATCCTCTAATCTGGGGCCCTATACTACTAATGGTAATTTATAGGAACCCCCAATAAGGGATCTACTTTTTGGATCCTCCCGGGGGTCTGGGGGGTGCACACATAGCAATCTACATCCTGCTCAGCAGAGGCTCCGAGAGGGCGATACGGCGGAAGGCCTTTCGTGCATCCTTGGCAAGAAAACATCATGGCTTCAGGGCCACAGACCTAAAGGGTCCTAAGGATCTCTATGGGGTTCTGACCCCAAACATGATCGCAAATCCTATATTTTTCAAACCCTACTTTCTACTATATCGGTACTTAGGACTCATTTCGAAGAAGGTTGGACCATGGTTTTGGTCTTAGGAGTCGACGGTTTAGGACTTGCTAGGACCTTTGCATAAAGAACTATCCGAATAGATCCATGGAGCCTATAAGAACAACATAGACATGGAACAACGCCGGAAATTTGACGACTTGCGTTGAGCGTCGGCACCTGCTTTGCCTTTACGGAACAACAAGTCAGGTTCACAGTGTGGTGCTTGCATGGGTCGGGAACTTGCTGGGACTTTCAGAGGGTAAGGGACATCCCGGACTACCAAATCAAGGACACCGAACCTGTGTCGAAAGGGCCGTTCACTTCGAGTATCTGCAAAGCAGCTTCTGCCAAAAACATGTCTTCCACAGCCAGTGAAGAAACTTCGAACACGTCGACAAAACACTCCTCTCCGAAAAAGCGAGACAGCGAACGTCCACACGGTTAGCCCTAGCCATACAACCCCAAAGTTTTACGGGCAAGTCTCAAACATACAAATCCCCAAACCAGAACCCCCCCTACAATAAAAAAACAGCGACTAACATAACTTGTCAAAGGCTCGCCCTGGCTGGTGCCTCGTGGCAGGCCCAAGACCTGCAGTCTGTCTGTCTGCCTTTAGGGTTTCGGCGCTCAGTTTAGGGTTTAGGGTTTCCTGTTCTGTCTGTTCTGTTCTGTCACACTCATATATGCACGTGCGTACATACATGCATACATACAGCATATGTATGCATAGGTATATGTGGCTATAATGGCACCCCACGGAAAGCCCGGAAATGGATATCTGCATACACGCACTATGTTACACCATATCGTCATGTGCACATGTCCTAGGCTAGTCTTGACAAGAGAGAGAATCGAACCCTAAACCCTAAACCCTAAACCGTCTGAGAAGAAGCCTGCCTGTTTACAGCTGCAGCAGAGCCTGAAGCGATCCCGGAGCTTGTGCTTGTGGGTGGTTGTCGACATTATGGTCCCTTCTTTGGGTCCCTAATTATTATAATACGGCACCTATTATTTAGGGTACCCCAAAAAGGGATCTTAATTTTGACAACTACCCTTGTCGGAAACCCCGGATCCGTCTAAATATTAGAAGGGGCCCCCACCCTGTAACTGTAATAGTGGTATAATAGGAATATAATAGGGCCCTAATATAATCCTTATAGTCACTATTACAGGGTGGGGGCAGCTTCCAATCTATATAACTTTAAACCCTACACTCCTGAAGTGTCGTCTTCGGTCGAGGGGCATCGAAGGGGTTCTCCGTCTTCGGCTTCGGAGCAGTCGCTCGGAGCACGGTGCGAGGAGATTGCTGCTGGGGCCTTCAGGCAACAGGTTTTGCGGTCGCTGCTTCTTTATAGTACTCATAACCAGTATTACAACAATAACTATTGTCATCAAAATTCGTGTTCCGATTGTTGCTATTATCATTACTATAACAAGAACGAAGGTCATTGACTTTAGTATCACTATTTCAAAGAGTAATACTGAAGTGAATAGATTATTTCTATTATGACTAATATTCGTCCTGCCACCAGGCCTGGGGCCAAGAAAGCAGCGCACAGCTGCAAAAGTACCGAGGAGCCTGGGCACCCATGCACACGGCACTGCCACCGTCAAGAATAGGAGAGGTTTAGGCTTTATTGCGAGTTTCGGCGCTCACACTCGGACAATCCAAGCGAGGCATATGGTTCGGCGTCTGAGAAGTGAGACTTCACTACGAGGAGTAGTCAAGGATAATCAACACCAACTATCAACACTAAAGTGACTGTAGTCTGCTGGACGCATCCTCTCTCAGGATCCCAGGACCTTAGGAGTTTACAATTTAAGGAATGAGCAGAAATGATTGCGCTCCCTTACCTGAAATCAGAGTCAGGCGGGAAACACGACAGTGTCCTTGCCACAGAGTTCGTGTCGCAAAACCACAACCACACATGAGTTCCTTCAGGTCAAACAAGCCGACTGGAGACCTCTATCACTATCTGCCATCTTCTGCTTACCGGACGCTGTGGGACTTTTGAACAATGACCGGCCGTGTAGCAGCACCAGGCCGGGCAGAACCCGAAGCGCCGCCATAGCTGGCCGAAGGAGTGCGACCCTATTTTATATCACACTGACCGAACCCTTGGGACTGGGTAGTTTTTCTCCTCCAAGACATAGTAGGTGCTGTCAAAGCAGACGGATCTTGTCTTGCAGCATACGTAGTCTGACAGGTATGCTAAATCAACTTAAAGCAATTCTCTTGGCTCGATGAAGGGTCGACCAACATATCCCCCACTCATGGCAACAAGCTGAGGCACGGCAGCCGTGACTTGAACAAGAACCGCGGCTGGTGCAAACTGGGCCCACAAAGACCTAACAAACTCTCCGGTCCAGTTCTCGCATGACGACAAATTCATGAGATCTTCATGCGGTCAATAAACTCTTGTTTAGCGTGTCGAAGTCCTGACGGCGTAAAGATCTTCGGCAGTTCTTGCGGTGGCAAAGCCCGAGAGTTTCCAGCAAATCATGTCATACCCAACGGAGTGTAAGCTCCGGGTTTTCTGGGTGGGCGGGAGCTTTTTATGTTTATGTGTCATCTTGAGGCCTGAGGTGCTCTGCCCTTTATATGCAGCATAGCTCACGGGGTGGTGAGGACTTGACTTTCGGAGGCGTTGCCAAGGAATTAACGACTGATTGTAATTGGGAATGGCCCAAGGGAAATGCTTGTCCAACTAGGCAAGAAATTTTTTCAGTTATTACATGAAACCCATAGCCGATTCAGCCTAGATTCAAGCTTGATGGGTCATGCCACGCGCTCACCCACACCATCACACACACGAAGGTAGATAGATGGATCGCCAGTCACCTGCCCAGCTAGCTAGCCAGGCTAGATAGATGGAAATATTGATCGGAAAACGGATAGATAGACAGATGGATGGGTAAGCAGATAAATAGATAGATAAATCGATGATTGGGTAGAAAGATAAATGGCTCGGCAAGCAGGAAAGGAGGTGGGTAGGTATATAGTTCAGGACATGAACAAAGCAAGACAACAACATAGCATGAAGAAAGAACGAAAGATGGACAGTTCTCGTGCAATAGAAGGCGCGCATGTACGGGTAAGCTCCCAATAAGCACATGCAGGTAGTCAAACACTAGCAATCAGCGGAGTATGCTTGAACCGGGTGGTTTATCCTGCGTAGTGCCTATACTTCTTGAAGAATTGGGTCAAACCGGGCCGAATTGCATGTAAAACTTCAAGCAGGCCGTTCGAAGGTGGGTCATGCTTCACATGTGGGTCTTTTTTGCCTCTCGCCTGGCCAGGACGAACCTACGATGCAGGGTCTGACACTTTGCTCATCAGAACTATACAACCCAAGCTGCCAACCCTCCACTTCCGAGAAACGACAGCCCAGTCAGCCAGCGGGGATGGAGCCTGTGACACGGCCCTCCGCCCTCAACCAAAAGAGCACCGTTTCGGTGCGCCGGTAACGTTGCTACGGTAACCTGTCTCATTGACATCGCATAACGTACTCAACTTCAAAAATGCAGCCACTGGCAAAATGCCTGACATCGACTCGGAGAGCTCATGTTTTGCACACAAGGCCTCCGAGGCTTCGGAAGAACGGTTCTCTTCCACGCTCGTCTTCTAGTCGGCTACACAAATAAACTAGAGCAGCCGAACGTGCAGATCAGATATGCCACATGTGGGATTTGAAGAAGCATAAAGAAACAACATGCGCAAAAACGCTTGCTTATCGCATGCTCGGGTGTCACGACTCACCCGAAATGGGACTCTAGCTGTTGAAATCAACACCTTCTGCGGTATCTGGCTTTCAGCCTTCCTTGCAGTGCTTGGCCATCTCACTGACGATATCATCGAAGTCCTCAATGGCGTAGTCCTCCAGGCGGCTTTGCACTCTCGACAGCTGTTCATACGCCTCCTTCAAGCTTGGCCAGTCAGCTGCACTCACAAGCTGAAGCTGTTTCCGCAGTGCTGCGGAAAGGAAATAGGGCACACCACCACATGAAGCCACTGTGTCATGGAAAACTTGTCCTGTGTCGCTGGCGTGGCTCATGACCCCAGCTACCCGCGCGAGGGCCATGATGGCATGTGCAGCTTTCATGCGACCGGCTTCCTCGATGAGTTCATCGATGTCTCCCGTCACTCGGTGGCTCTGCTCGTATTGCTGCGAAGGTCGGAGTCGATCCAGCTGGTGAAAAGCACGGAAAGCACGACTGCCGAAACTCTGCAGCAGGCTCTGCACATTGATGGGTTTGGCATCCCGCTTCTCCAACTCTTCAGACACAACTTTGCTGGCGCTCAGCCTAGCATCTTTGATGAGTCGCTCCAGAATCGACGTCTTATCCGCCTCATTCAAACGGCTCAAGCCAGCCAGGGCAGTTGCCTTTGGATCAACTTTGGCCCTCTTCGCGGGCGATCCTCTCGTCTCACCACCCTTCTTTGCCATTCGCAAAAGCCCTGCGCTTTGAACTGGGTTGCATTAAACTACTGTATCACGTCAGATTGGGATTCCATGAGATGCCACAAGTTACGTCACCAAGACTGGAAATGTTCATGCTCAAGTCTCAGGTAAGCTCAACATGCCAAGGCCCCGCTTGAGCCACTAGAGACTCACGGGAATCAAGAGAAGCGCATGGCTGGAGAGCCTATCCTTGAAAATCAACAAGCAAGTTTCAGCCCAACATGTCCATCCAGAGGTCCTTGAACCAGTGTTTCAGGTCAGAACACGTTGATAAGACAGCTTACCAGCTGGTGATCCGCAGATCCTCCAAGCTCAGCTTTGCATGGCTCATGGCTTAGGGATTATTGCCAAACCTTGTCGACGATTGTGGGTGTGCACATGGCCGATGTGCGTGCGATTGCTTCCCGGAACGCGGTGCCTGGCATTGTCGAGCGCTGCCGCTTTAGGCGGCGCGCGAAGCCTGCCCAGATAGGGGAGTCCTACAGATATGGGAGTTAAGGGACCCCCATTTTTTGGAAACTCCCAATATACCCTGAACAACAGGATCCTTGAACCCCCCGCCCTCCCCCGTCAAAACAG